TAGCGAGTTGTGGCCAGTTCATTAAACCATTAAACGGTTTTAATTACCCGGTTAATGCGGCGCAACATCCGGCGGGCAGACAGCTGCCGCTTGCGCCTTGGATGCTTCCCGCGCGCGACTTGCCCGGGAGTGTGCGGCCGGTCGGCGCGAGTGCGCGGAAAGGAGCGACCGCCGGCGATTGTGCTGGGCGACAATAGCCGGACGTGGCGGACCTTGGGGAATGGCTTTCGAAGCCGATGCACAGCTGGCCGGCGAGGCGGAGGTGCCGGGCCATGGAGCTCGTTTTGGCGGAATGGCAGAGGCGCTGAGCGGTGCAAGTGCTGTGGAATTGACCAGAAGGTTAGCGCGGAACAAGAGAACCCTTGCGCGCATCGAGGGGAAGCTCGCTGCGTTGTTGAAGGCGATTGAGGAAGGCGCCTTACATGAAAGGGCGGAGGCGGGCAGTCCGGAGGCCGCGGGCCGATCGTCCCCGGTCATTCAAACGGCCTCAGAGATGGCCATCGAGGAGCTTGCCGTTGAGCTCCGGACGGAGGCGGTGGAGGCGCAGGGGTCGGCCATGGAAATGGGCCTCCATGGCCATCCGGAGGGCCCTAGGAAACCCCCCCAAAAGGGGATGCACGTTTCCCCGGCCGGTCCGGAGGGATGGAGCGGCGCGCCGGGGCCGGAGGAAGTGGCGCCCGAGCTGCGCCTTATCGAGCGCGGGCGGCGGTGCTCGCGAGCGGGCAAATGCCGCGGGAGGAAGGCTCCGAGCAGGTCGGAGGGAGGAAAGTCACGTACGACGCCCGGATTGGCCGAGCGTCGTGAAATGTAACTGCAAGGAGTACTAGTGATTGATAGAAAAAGGGGGAAAACGGTTTGATAAGGGGAAGCGATGGTGATAAGGCAAGGATATTGTAACGCCTATCAGATGCATGAGAAATGGCCTGTGCGCATGCACAGAGGCTTTAGAGGAGGGGGTGCGTTGGTTCTTGGGGTGGTGATGTTTTTTGGTGAAACGGTTGGAGAAAGGTGATGTAACCGGGTACCAAAGTGGGTGAATGATAATGTGATGGAATCCAATGTTGGGAATTCACTCAGGACGCTGCGAAGAGGGCACAACGCACTGCGAATTCGCAGTGGGAAATGGCATGTGGAGAGTCCGAAGGGGGGTGTTGTGATGCCCAACAACTGGGGTATATAGGGGCTGGCTTTTGTTCAGTTTGTTCAGCACCAAAGCCAGCACCGTGAACCGCCCCAAACGGACGACAACCAGAGCTGTGAGAGAGCGTTGTGGAGCTGTAGCCAAGGCGCAATCCATCGTTGGTGTCGACTGGCGGGGCTGGACGGTGTGACATTTTGGGAATCGCTGATCGAAGTGAAAAGTTGGTGTTGGGAGTGGAGTATAGTGACGGGTGAAGTGGAGTCTTGTGGAAAGGGATTCGGACAAGTGAATCGCAGCCTGTGGTGTTGCTGTAGCCTTTATGAACATTGTGTAAGAGTTGTGTGGTTGAAAGGAAGTGCTGCGTGTCAATCGCTGGTGTGGTTGTGTGTTTCGAAGAGCTGGAATTTTCAGCACGAGTTGTTGAGCAGAAAATCCACTTGGCCCAAACTGGAAAAGGCCGATCGGCGTGAATGACAGTGTCATTGAAGATGGATAGCGAGTCGTGGTGAGGGTTGCAATTTGAAGGGGCTGTGGACAATCAACGTGTAAGTGTATTTCTGTGAGAACATTGCTTCAAGCCGGTGATCTATCAGCCAATATGGCGATCACCATGAAGGGCTTTCAACAGAGCACAGCAGATCCTCAAGTTCGCCGCCAGGGTAAGTGAGGAAGGAGCAAGCGGTTTCGACAGCCAAAAAGTTGCCCTCGCAGATCGCACGTCACGGCGTGAGTATAGCCACACTCAATAATGTGCCCAAATGTTTGTTTCCTCACGTACGTGACCACGCGCAACACACAGTCGGGGCCGTGGCAGCCACGCGACAGATGGATCGAGGAACTGTATGCGGTACACAGTATGCGTTCCTACGCAGAGGGCAGATTGTCAACATATGTATGTATTGAACTTGTTGCCCTCTTCAACGGCAGGGCGCACTCGGCGCAGCAGGCGCTAGGTGCATCTGTTAGACGAAAATTCGTTAGCGACAATCTGCTTTTGACCCTAAGAGCTTAAAAGTTTCAAAGCATTTGAGGGTATTTGTTGTCTGGGATTGATGCAATATTTGAGGCCAATATGCTACGCACAGGACATATCACTGATCACTGTGATATGCATAGACGTACAAAACGCCTGGATCTGAGGCCGCATTCAACAAAGAAAGTCGGAATGCACGCTTCCGCCAATTATCGGACGGCCTTCAGTGGATACGCATTGCCTCCGCTGACTAATACAAGAATAGATGGCGTGCATTGGATAGCCGCTCGTGGCACTGCCTGAATCGTGTCGGTTAGAAGACAGCGCTCAATAGAAGGCATTGCCAAGCTTTCATGCAAAATGTTGGTAAGAGGGTCACGGAAAACAACAAAACATGCATTTTGCGCACAGGCGGAATGCAAGAAAAATGCCACAACAACAAACCTACGCACAAACAGGCCATTTTTTGGTCACCCAACGGACAAGAAAACCACAATATTGCGCACAAAAAGAGTGTACCTTTGCGCGCGCCGCGCGCGCAAACACAGGCGAATATCGCTGGGCCTAGTGCGTCAATGCATGGGGTCGGTGGGGGGGGGGAAGCTGAACCCGTGTTGTACATATTTTTTTTGTAAAAACTTTCTTAAGCTTGTGATATAAAGCATGAAAACTGGTGTTTTAAAGGCGTTCATACCCTTTTTTTTAGTGCACTCAGAAATGGCGATATTGCGCACAAGTTTCCTTGTTTTCTGATGGACAATCTTGAGCACAACCATTTTGCCCAAAAAAACACACAATCGCGATGTTGCACACAAGTGCGCCCTTTCGGACCTTACCGACATTTGGCACGAAAGCTAGTTGCAAATCCAATGTCAAGCCCGTTCACAGTAATGAGATGTAGGGATTTTCATTCCAGCCTGTTCCATTATCGCTGAGTTGGTTGGTGGAAGTTTTGGGACCTCAGGGCCATGCGCGGTGGCGAAGAAGCTTGAGCGCTCGGAAGGAAACGCTTTCCGTTTTTGCAAAAAGGTTCGAAGAGGAGACTTCTCCGGTACTTACACCAGCAGGAAATGGCATGCTGGCGATGCCAATTGCGACGCCATTTGACACAAATTGATGCCATCGCAGCCACTTTTATGCCATCGCAATCACTGTGACGGCACCACTTTGTGTCAAAATAGCATCGCAGTTGGCATCGCTAATGTACCATTCTCTACCAGTGTTATCGTTACCGCATGTGAAGGCCATGGAAGTTACAACGGCCCTCAAAACTGAACCTCGCAAAATTTAAATCTTAAATGGGTTTTCGTGACCCATAGGGCTTCCATGTCGGACATTTGTGTCCAAGAGCCACCTGAACCTCACAATGCCTAATCCTATGTGGGTTATCGTGACCCATAGGGATTCAACGTCGGACATGTTTGTCCAAGAGCTACCATGAACAACGGCGAAAGGCCCATCATTGTGGCATCGATCGGGCTGCCTTACGGAATAATCTTGTGCTTGGCAACAGAGGAAGCTCTAAAAATGCGGGGCAATGCCAGCCACAGTGTTTGATCCACAGCAACATCATTTCTCCGTTGAATTAGAAAACACCACCAATTGGCACGGCGAAGAAACAGAGATGTGGTGCGTAGTGGATCGATGCAGCACAATTGATGCACTATTTGCAGAACTAATGCACCATGCTGAATGTTCTGTCTTGCATGCTGTTCATTGTATTGTCACAAGGATCATGCGTGATAGCTGGATAGTAGAAGACAGCATGTATTGGTACATTATGCAACAATATGACTCCACGGTGGTGCACATGACTGCATTCTGGGCACAGTGGGGCACACGATGAGAACGAGGCAGTGCACAGAGGCGAACAGTCGCTCACCACTGTCCTGTCCCTTCCCCAAAATGCTCATTGAAGGGAGAGCTTGCTTCCGGAGAGTATATTTCTTTGAAGAAAAACATCGATTGGCTTGATTTCTTAGAGGAAAGTTACTGCGGGAGTTGTGTGTCTGCATCATAGGGGATAATGTGGCACAGATCGCTGGTTTATCTTTGAAACAATGCATGTTAGTATTCAAGCACCGTTTGCTGAGGGGGCAATCGATATCCTGGGCGGTTGGGGCAAACGCTTTCACAGATCGACTTCATTCCAGTTCATTCCAAAAGCTCAAAAGCGCAGGGCAGCAGTGCTGGCGGTGTCTTCGAGCCTCTTTGCGACTTTGGCTTTCGGTTGTGTCGCCTTTGATGAACACCCGGCCATTGCAGCAACTGGCCATTGGTGCTGGATTCCGGCCAGTCCACATCGACGCCCCATTGAACGTCAAGCTTCCGTTACACGATTGCCACGCGATTGATGAAGCACACGGCTTTGCTTGCAGACTTGAGTTGTGGCGAGCGGAGCTGGTTGTCACGAAAGAACAAAAAACTAGTAGCCGCAGACAAACGCACACGCACTAATGAACGGGAGCTAAACTGCAACAAACACTATGAAGTTATCGACACTCGCGCCATGAGGGAAACGGCGAAGCGTAACCGTAGACAAAAGAGCACACACTACTGAAATGGAGCTGAGCTGCAGGAAACACTACGGGAATATCCATGCCCATGCAATGCAAAGGCGACACCCCTTCTATCCCGCAACGCCAAAGCCGATCCCATCCCCCCTCCTCTCCCACCAGAGGATGTGTTCACATAGGCGGGGTGGTGGAGTGAGCGACGGATTGCGAGTTGGCACAAAAACGTCCTACCACACAAATCATACAAATGCATGTCGCAAAATCGTCCCATCATCCTAACAACACAAATCCCTGTAGATGAGATCCAAGCCAACGCTTGGACACTCCCTAGAACATTCTGGACTCAACGAGCTGATCAGAAACATCGAGGTCACCCGCCATATTTGCTTCCTTTCTTGGAGTCGTCCTCTTCGAAGAGCACAATGGGGCAGAAACACCTCAACCCCTCGCGAGTCTGCCACACTCTGGCACTGGACACACGGAAGACATCCGGGTCGCTTGATTGAAGGGAGGCGTCAGCTGCGGCTGCCTCTGCGACTGTGTTGAAGTTCTCTTCCTCCACCAGGATGGTAGGACGAAATACAGACAGCCTGCAGCCACAAGTGCGAGCAGCACGATTCGGTCGCGCAGTGCGTGACAGAAATCGATCGTTCATGTGAATGCCACACTCGCGCACATGCAGCCTCTCGGTGCAGTGGCACGACCATGGACTACTATTCACTCTATTCGATCTTTCGCTGCTTCCCCTTTTCATATGTTCATCTGATGCTTCGCTGTCTGATTTACTTTTTCCGCTATTTTTTTCTTTTACAGCTCTCCTTTACATTCTCCGCCTTTTTTTATTATAACTCTTCCCTTCGGGGAGCGGGTGTCCACCAATATTTCACGCAACGTCCCGCCTGCACCCACGCGTCCAGCGATTGGATCGACCGCTACTCCCCTTTTCTATCCCTGATTTTCGCCTTTTGCTATCCGGTCGTGGTCCTCCTTCCCTTCGGGTTTTGTCAGCCTATCTGAGGGCCGTGTTGGCCCCCGGCCACCTTGATTACTTCTTCGCTGTCTGATGAAACACTTCTTTCCGCCGTGCCTGGACACCTTTTGTGCCAGATGCTCTTCATGTCCACCCAATGACTATCTCGGAACTTTTCTGCCGCTCTTACTGACGTGTGAAGCTCTGCTGGGATCCCATCCTAATCCCCAGCATTCCTATCACTAGGAAAAAAGGGGCCAAATAACACGTGTTCAAGCATGTACAAAGTTTACGGATTTGTGTTTTTTCTTGTGTTAATAGCGTGCTGAACTTTGATCAAAGCGTTTTATGTGTGTTCGCGAAAGTGTTATTCGGCCCTTTTTTTTCTAGTGTACTCCATTCTTGAGAAGCACACAACTCACTCAAGCAAGGTGCATCGAAAGTTTCGATTCGATGCCCTTCGATTTGAAACCCACAACCCCAAGTACACCCTGCGGGCTACGCGCCCTTCTACGCACAATCTCCACAGTTGTCATTGCCGTTTCTCTAAGTACTGCCATGATTTTTGCCCGTCGCCATCGCCGAAAATGGTATTGAACGTTGCACCACCGGATTCTCCTAGACTGCAGTCGGTGCACTCTTGAGAACACACATCTGAACACCACCCCGGCGACGAAAGCGCGTTGTGTGGGATAATTGCCTTTCACATGCCAGCGCCAGCGCGACTGACGAGTCCTGGGTAAAACAGCCAGGACCGAGGCGCTTCAATCAAGGGATTCAGGAAGGCTTTTTGCGGGGCATCCGATTTAAAACCATGCTGCATAGCTGGCAAAAAAAATCCGAGCTCTGGAGAGTCTTCGGCCTGCATTGTCAAGGAAGATGCTGCATATGCGCCGCTGGAGCGTTGAAGTGGCGAGCCGATGCAAAAACGGAGCATTTGTTGACACGTGGCAAGCGTGTCCACCGCGCATCCCTGGAGTCTCACTCTGGAATGCCGTTGATGATGTCGGATTGTACGAGGGGGCATGGATCGACGCCTTCGCGCTTCCCGGCCAGCCTCAGCCTCGGAATGCTGCAGCAATCCCTGCGGACGATGTCGAACAAGTTGGTCCTGTTCCCGACTCCGCCGATGCAGGCGCGCTCCACGGGCACCAATCGCTCAAACTGGTCGAAAACTGCGCGGCAATCGAACTCCATTTCACGGAATTGTCGTTGAAACAGCTGTGCATATTGTCAGTGCGGGTGTGCATGCTTTGTGCTTGATGCATCGTATACTGACCGTAGTTACAGAAAGCCCTTGTGGCGAACGATTTGCGTGCATGTTTGCTCAACAGTTGCTCACAGCAGATTTGAAGACACAAAACATTACAGAGCGACTCAACCAGGTCAGCTATTCAGCGTCCTTGTCGGCTTCATCAGCACCAAGTGCGACTGAGTGGACCAATGCCATCCATTGCGTCTGGTATGACACCCGCCCATTCATGCACATATGTTCAATTACATGCTTACTTTTGTCAACTTATATTTCTTTCCGCATAGTACATTGGGTGGTGCGTTTCATTTGCTGGCGAAATCGCTGAACAGAGCCCTTGCCAACAGGGAACGTATCGCCCCTGCGTTTTCCAGGACTCCTTGTCATTATCAGGAACCATCAAGACAGGCCAAGAATTGGGGTCAAATGCCATTCCTACGTGCCAAACAATGTCAGGAAATACACGCAAGTGATTGTCCGTCCAGGGGGGTGTCGAAACAAGAATCGACAGTCAGAAACGAGGGATTAATTCATGCCCACCGCGCATCGTGCCAGCACCAGCAGAGGGGGGAAGCGGGGAAATAATGTTACTGCCTGCACCGAATCGGTGACTGCTTGCACCAAATCACGTGAGCACTATGTCCTAACCTCAGTTTTAGGTTTAGGTTTAGTTTTAGGATGAGTTTTAGGGTGAGTTTTAGGGCAGGGGTTAGGTTTAGGGCACGTTTAGTTTCAGGGTTTAGTGTTTAGATTTTAGGTTAGGTAAGTTTTGGGCGGAGTTGGTGCAAACAGTCACCGATTTAGTGCAGAAAGTCACCGATTTGGTGCAGCCAGTAATCGTGCCGACTGCGGGCGGCCCCCCCCCACATCGGGGCGCAAAGTGTGATCCGAAGAGGGACGTGCACAACGCCATGCACGCAACGCGATACGCACAACGAGCGTAGGTGGGCTGGCGGCGGCGGGCAGGGGGAGCGTGTGTGGCAACGCTGGGAACCGCAATGCGAATCCGCCCCGACACGGGGGCCGCTCTCCGCGACGCAGAGTGCGTGCAAACAGCGCCGTGTGAACGTCTCCCGTGCATGGCAGGCACGGCTGATGGCCGACCCGCCGTTTTCGGCCCAGCAGCAGTGAGGGAGGCGGCCAGCATGGCTGGGGTTTCAACGTGGTGGTCAAGATGAGCCGGATGGGGAACATTCCGGGTGCAAGGGTAGACAACGCGCCTGCAAGCGCGCCGGTGGGACAATAGCCGAGACGCAGCCAAAGGGGGAAGAGATCTGGGGGCAAGCTCTCAGATCTCCAGAGATTGCGGCGGGGACGGGCCTCGCATTAGTATCTGGGATCCCCGCGGAACCCTGCTGGCGCCCAAGTGACGTGGCGGCCGAGCGCGATGGCCGCAGCCCGCGCGAGCGACGACGGACGCGCAAATCGGGCGAGGATGCGCCTCTGACGGGTTTTATATCTTCGACGAGCCGAAGACAACGATCACGCCAGCTCTGAGCTTGCCAGGCGACAGAGAACCACAAAACCCCAAACGGCAAACCGCTAACAGCGAACGCTCGCGATCACCGCGGTCCCCGGGACCGCGGGAAACTGGGAGGCAGCGCCGCCCGCGGCATCCGGGGGCGGGGCCAGGAGCGCAAAAAACAAAGCGGTGTCCCGTTGCTTCGGAATCGATCGCGCTGCGGAACCGCGACGCACCCCTCTGGCTGCATGCCGCCTGCAGCACGGCGGCGAGCACCGCCAGGATCACGGCCCCGCGGGCAGCCATCACGAATTCCTCGCGGGGAGCGCCGCCAGACGACCGGGCTGCCAGACAGGGAGCGGGACAGGGGGGAAGGACGCCGGTGGCCTGGGGCGCCCGTGTCGAAAGGCCCAGGGGGACGCGGTCCTGTGGATTTGGCGGCGGGCAGCCCCCGCTTTTGTACCTCGCCGGGAACCATCAGGCGCCTGGTGCTTACTCGCAGGGGCACGGCAGTTGGAACTGTCCGGGAGTTCTGGACTTACGCAGAATTCATTCCGATACTGGCGTGCTTGATCGGGCCGCCAGGACGGACTGGGGGGGGAACTAATGGCCAGTCTTCGCGATCACCGCGGGCCCAAATCACCAACCATCGCGCTTGTGCGGCTGCGCAGCAGCCCAACCGCGCCGCGCCTCCCCTGGCCGCATGCTGACCTAACCGAGGACCGACGGCCGCGGTTGCGCCGGGCTGGCTTCTCGACAGGCCCACATTAGCTTTCGCGGGCACACAGCGCCCCTGGAAGGAACCCGCGTTCAGCCGGGCTTGCCTCACTTCTCACACCGACCCTGCCACAACGTAAGGGCGAGGGCGGGCCCATCCCACCCACGCGATCCCATCCCACCCCCCCGCGCCGTCACCGCACCAGGCCGGCAAAACTCACCGGAGCCTTCTCACGGCGCCAGCAGGGGGGGCGCCGAGGCGGGCCTGACTCTCTGGCCGCCGAGCCGGTGGGGCAGAAGAATTCCCACGGCCGACGGCCGCCAGGAACGTCCAGCCATCTTCCGGGAGCCGCGGGGGCCCGGAACTTCGAGGGGGTGCGCCTGCAGCTCGGTGCCAAGTGGGCAAGCGGCCGTAGGGAGGGCTTGGAGGCCACGCCGCGGGCGAAGTGCGCATCCCCCGGAGGCGCGAAAGGCGGCAAGCACGGGGCGGCAGCCAGCCGAGGTGCGACTGACATCTGTGCGTCTGCCCGCGCCCGCCGCCCCTGCTTTTCCTGACGGACCTACGACGGCAGAAGCCAAGTCCCGCGCCGCGTGGCGGGCGCCAGGAGCTTGTCCTCTTGGCACCTCGACGGTGTTCGTGCTGGCACGAGCCGAGTCGATGACTGGTCCACGGGCTATGGGCGACGCGATGAGCCTGTGCCTAGTGGGCGACTGTGAGAGCGGCGTCCCGTGCTCGCGAGACCAACGCTTCCCTGCTATAGCTAACCTCTTCGCGGTGGGGCATATGACAAGAGCAGATACGAAACGAAATAAGACGTACGCTGTTGTGTGGCTGCCTGTGTGATTGCGTAACCCTGTCAACTGCCGTATACTTGACTGGACATCGAGACACTACCCCTGCCCAAGGGGGTCCTACGTTTGGGCTTTTTGCGCGTCGCGGACATCGGCGTGGCTGTGCTCTGTTGGGCTGGGCTGGTTTCAGAAGCAAAAAAAGGTGCCCACGACAGGGGCCCAGAATGTTTGGACCGTACTGTGGACCGGTGATTCCGTGCGCGGTAGTCAGCGCGGGCCGGTTTCAGGGGGAACGGCGAGCGCCTTCCATCTCCCCATTGTTTTAAGATCGGAGGATTGCAGCACCTTTGGGGATGACCTCTCCGGGCGCCGTCCGCCGGCACAATCCAATTGGTGGATGCCTGGTGGAGCGGTGTCGTCCTTTCTTTGGGACTTCCCTGGGCTCCGTTTCTTTACCGAACCGCGGCATCTCCGAAGTGAACTGCTGAGGAGGTTTCGGGGTCTGGCCGCACGTTTTCAGGTTGGCGGACTGGGCGCTGCCCCGACAAAGATGGGATGGGAGTGCGCTCAGCCCTGAGGCACCCTGGCCAATCACATATCCTTGCTTGTGGAATTCTGACGCCAAAAGTGTCTTAGCGCCGCGGGGCATGTTGCCAAGTCGGAGTCGCCAAGGAAACGATGCCACAGGACGTCAGCCCGCCCGCCACAACGTAGCGCCGAGATTGTCCCTGTTTTGCGACAGTTTAGCGACAATAATGCCTTGGAACAGGAGGAAATTTTACCAGGGACGATGATTTCATTGACTGATTTGATCTGATGTAATATGCTTGATGTATGGGTTTTATTGATATATTGCTTTCATTTTTTGATTTTATAAGATTCTGTTTCGATTCATGTATATTTGATATATTGGCCTGTGCGGTGAAGTGAGGGCAACTGACCACTAGTGTTGCTCTTCAGACGGCGTTCGTCCACAAGCAGTCACAAGCGAAGTCAACCCCGAACCATGCTTGCCTTGTCCCGATGGTTGTCCCTGCTTTGGGGCCTAAGCCTCTTGCTTTCTGGCTTGAGGTCCGTAAGAATGCAGGAAGAGGAGCCTGCGGCCGCTCGCAATTGCTCCTCATTTGATGGGGGGAATTTCTTCAACGTGATCCCTGTGGTCGTTTCGGAGAGTGCCTTAGCCATGGCAGGCAACGACATCCAGTTTTTCGTCGATTGTGTCCCAGACAACGGCACCATATTGTTCAACGCATCTACCATCAGTCCAAACAGCACCATTGCCATTTCCAAGCCAATCAGTTTGGGAGCAAGTGAGGCGATCGAAAGGGCGGCATTTGTGTGCCCTCCCGGTGGCACCGTCTTCAACATTACTTCGCATGGGGCGAGCCTGTCGAATTTCACCTTTGCAAGCTGCACCGCTGGTGGTGCGGCAGTCCTTGTGAAAGATTGCAAGTCGGATGAGACAAAAGCAGTGGATTTGATTGGGATGGAGTTCATGTCCAATGTGAGATCACTGGATGCATCTGCTGTGAACGTCTCAAATTGTTCACTCTCTGTTAGAGATTCCGTATTCGTAAATTTGGTAGGTGCAAGGGGAGCTGCACTGCAGATTTCAGACAACTCATCTGTTGTGGTCAGTGACTCGACATTTGAGGGCAACACAGCACATCCAGTCGAGGGAGTGACAGGTTCAGGTAGAGGAGGGGCGATCTATGCAACAGGTAGCGCAGTCGACCTGAGTGGATGCACTTTCATCAATAATACAGTAGACTTGATCGGGGTTGTTTATGCAAGAGAGAGCAGCACAGTCCATGTGCGTCGGTGCAACTTCACCAGCAACAGAGGAAATCAGGGTCCTGCAATTGGGGCTGTATCCAGCAACGTTTCTATGGAGGACAGCATCTGTGATGGAAATGTGGGTCGTACTGCCGGAGCCATAGCTCTCTTTCTTGGGAGCAATTGCGTCATGAATAGTTGCACATTGCGTAACAATTCAGTCGGATCATTTGATAGCGATGGCACACCAGTTGGGGGTCTTGGGGGTGCATTGACTCTTATTGTGAACAGCACACTCACTTCCACAAATTGCCTGTTTGAAAACAACTCTGCGGTATTTAATGGTGGCGCCGTTTACCTTGAACGTGGATCTGGAGGGGATGGGATATTTGAAAACTGCTCGTTCCTCCAAAACAAGGCGAGACTTCTAGGAGGGGCCGTGGCTGCAATTGTAGGCTCTGGGGCAAACGTGACCAACTGCACTTTCATTGGGAACTCAGCTGGGTTGCTGGGAGGCGCCATTGCTTCGGAAACGCCTTTGGATCCAGGCCAACAGGCATCGATGGTGATTGTTGGATCAAATTTCACGGCAAACACTGCATCGTCTGAGGGCGGGACGTCAATCGATACCCTCACAGGCAGCGGAGGTGCGCTCTTCTGTGGAGCAATTTCGAGATTCAGCATTCAAGACGGTCTCGAGGGCTTTGGCCTTGCAACCACCGATGGAACAGAAATTGCAAGAGGCAACTTGAGTTGTGTGGTGAACACAACCAACTTCTCTGCGAACTCTGCAGGCTTGGGTGGCGCGGTGAGCAGTGTTTTCACAAATGTTTTGTCCTTGGACGCTGTCAATTTCATTGGCAATCTGGGGAAGGATGGCGGGGCAGTATTCCTCAGGATGGGTGGAAGCAACGATCCACAGAGGTCCCGAGATCCAGAAACTTACACCAGCGGAGGCAGGTTATCATTTGTGGGGAATTCCGCAAGAAGAGGGGGCGCGGGACTCTCAGTGACTGATGGTTCGACTGCCAACTTGGAGCGAAGCTCGATATCTCTTGACAATGTGAGCCGATTTGATGCCGAAGGGTTCAATGGGAATGACGATGACATTTTCTTCACCGGCAGTGTCTTCATTGGCAACAGCGCTTCTCAGTTTGGTGGGGCATGGTACGCAGAGAGGACGAGAGTGGGGTGCAGAAATTGCACGTTCGAGCAAAACAGCGCAACTGCCTCTGGTGGTACGGTGGACATGAGAGAGCTGTCTGTCTTTCACTTTAGGAATGGGACCTTGGAGGGAAACAGTGCAATGATGGGAGGAGGGGTATTTGCAAGAAACTCGTTTGTGGATGCGGTGGGCACAGCGTTCCATGGAAACGTCGCAGAACAAGGGGGCGGAGGTTTGCAGGTGTCCACGCTGAGCAGCACAGTATTCAGGTTAGGGCTCGTGTCTCATCTGTCCAATGTGACGGCCGACAACAACAGGGCCAACTTGGGCGCAGGCCTGTACTTTTTCGTTGAGCGAGACCCCCAGAAGACAGGCCCCACTGACCTGCGCATGGAAGTGACGGGAAGCACCTTCCTGGACAACCGCGCAGATTTTGCGGGGGCAGCCTTGTTCACCAATGAGCCTGATGCGCTGCGTGTGTGTTGCGCCTGCGAGCTCGAGAAAATCCCTTTCCCGCAAAAAGAACTTCTGGCAGGGCTGCGACCTGGAGTGTTTAACGTCTCAGCAAATTCATCTGGCCTGGAGGGCTTGCAAGGGCAATTGCCCGAGCCTTGTCCACGGATTTGGACCAACAATGTCATCGACGGTGACGCCGGGAGCCAGATAGTGGGCACAACGGCAAAATCGACAGAGCTGTGCATCCGGGGTCCTGGGAGCCCGGACCGCGTATGTGCTGAAGGAAGTGCTCCCTTGACAATTTCCAATCATACCAGTGGCAACGACTTGGAGAGCGTGACGGTGCGCTTGGTCGACTCCTTTGGGAAGACCGCTGCCAAGGAGGAAGGTTTGCAAGTGCGCGTTGAGGCCCCCAATGGCTCTGACATTTCACTGTCAGGGCAGGTCCTCAAAGATATGGAGTCGGTCACGGTGCTCGAAGACATAGGCATGCAGGCCCCAGTTGGGACTGAGCGAAACTTGAAGTTGCAGTTTGAATTTGGGCTGGAATTCAATGACGGTACTTTGCCAGACAGGGACATCAGAGTGATGGTCCGGCCTTGCGTTCCCGGCCAGGTGCCCGAGAACAGCGGCAACATCTGCACCGAGTGCAACGACGGGTCATACAATTTCGGCAACACGACCTGCTTGGAATGTCCAACAAATGCCAAGTGCAGCGGCTCAACTGTGACCCCCCTTGACGCGTTTTGGCACTCGACTTCGAAGTCCACCAAGCTGCACGAGTGCATCAGGGACCAGGCGTGCAGCTTTGAGAAAAGGATCGATGAATTGGTGGCAACGGCGAGTGCGGCGCACGCCGCAGGCTCCGCCCTGAATTTCAGCGACGGTGGAGCGTACCCCCAGTGCAGCCAGGGATACCACGGCGTGCTGTGCGGCGCCTGCGACGCAACCCACGGCAAAGTGCGGTCTGGCGAGTGCATCAAATGCCAAGGCCGGGCAAGGAACATCTTTTTCGCGACTTCCCTCGCGGTGTGGCTCTTCATTGTCGTCAATGTGCTCGTCAGGAACGTGCTCACAGCCATTCCCAAGGATCGGGTGGAAAAGTCCGCTCCTCCCAGTCCACCCCAGAGGCTGCCATCTGGGGCGCTGTCCGGCGTGGAGCAAGGAGCATCTCCACCAAACGGCGCTACCGACATCAGACCTGGAAGCAGCGATGGCTCCCTGGCGACGGACCTGTTGAGGGACAGGAACTACTCCGCGGACATACTCAAGATCCTCGTCAATTTCCTGCAGGTCACCGGCGTGGCTGTCTTCATCGACGCAAGGTGGACCACCGCGGTTTCCAGGGCGCTGGGCATCGTGGACGGGGCCGCAGCCGGAGGCGAGGGCTTGTTTGCCTTGGAGTGCGCCTTCAGCGGCGACAGCTCCGTTCCCAGATCCGTGCAGATGTTCTTCATCACCCTGCTGTTCCCAACCATGGTCCAGGCCGTGCTCATGGCCATGTGGGTGGTCATAACGGCAGTCAGGTCGAAGCCCGCCTCGTACCTGATCCGCCGCTGGCACGTGTCCGCCTTGGTGGTTTTCTACTTCTTCTACATCCAGATCACCAGGAACATGGTGGTCGTGTTCGACTGCCAGATAGCCGACGGGGATGGGGAGCCGGAAAAGTACGCCATAGCCAGGGACCGATACTGGGTGCAGGACACCGACAGGGTCTGCTGGCGGGGCAGCCACCTTGCTCTCACCCTCGCCCTGGCGATTCCAGTACTTCTGTTTGTCACTGTGGGGTTTCCGTTTGCCCTGGTGGTAAGTTTGACCCACAATGAGAAGAAGCTGGAGACAACGGAGTGCGTGCGGACGCAGGGGTTTTTGTACTGGTCCTACAGGCCCGGCAGCCGGTACTGGGAGGTGGTCATCATGGCCCGGAAGGCCCTCGTGGCCTGCATCTCGGTCTTCGACTTCTCCTTTCGGGCCAACCTGCAAGCCACCCTGGCGGTGGGCGTGCTGGCGGCAGCGACTGTCGCCCACCTCCAGGTGAGGGAACTTTCCGATACAAATCGTTACTGTACACAAAGGTACTGAAGGGCGCTGGGGACCTAAAACCCTAAAACCCTAGAAACCTAAATCATAAAAACCTAAAAACCTAAAAAACACCTTGAAAAACAGAAACCTAAAAACGCCCTAAACACGAAAATGACCTTCATGACCTTCGTGACTTTGCAACTCGTGACCCTGATGGCTTCCTGTTGGAAAAAGAAAAAAGGAGAAAAAACACCAAGCACCCTAATACTCCAAAAAGACTCTCACGACCTTCGTGACTCCACGGTCGTCATGATCTTCATGCTCTTCATGACTTCTTAGTTCATAACCATGACGGCCTTTGCGACTTCATGTCTGGAAATGAAGGGCACCGTACCCTTTTGCCAGGTGCGGCCCTTCGTGACTTGGGACCGGGCCCCAAACCTGCACAACATGGAGACCGCATCCCTGTGCTGCTCCACTTTCGCCTTCCTCACGGCGCTGGTCTTCAACGACCCCAACACGTCGCAGGCGGGAAGGGTGGTCGTCTCCGTGCTGCTCATCGCCTTCGGCGCGGGGGTGGTGGCGTACTTGCTGATGGAGCTGTCCAGGGAGGTGTGGAGGAAGGTGGACGACATGCTGGAGGAGGCCAAGATTGGGGGGGTGCGCGACATGTCGCGGATGGCCAAAATCTGGCACGTCGCGGCGCTGCTGGCGGCGCAGTTGCCGTGCTTCGGGCTTGAAGAGGAATCCGAAAATGAGGCCGTGGAACCTGTCGAGGGTCGCGGGTGATTGAACACCATGTCAGGAACAGTGGTATCAGCAAGTACTATAGAATAGCTGAGCTCGATATCAAAAGGATATAGAGGGTTACAGGGAGCGCAGTGAGCGAGTGGCAGGGCGAATTTTGTTGTCTGCAGCCTCTGAACCGTTGAACGGGAGATTTAGAGGGAGAGCAGTGTAGCCTGTTGGTAGACCCCTGTGGCAGCGCCATCATCGCAGCAGCGCCAGTGTGGACCTGCGGCTGGGCGCTGGGCTGCGGAAAAGCGTGCCGCAGGTTGACATCCTCGCCTGAGCAATGCAAGCGCAAGTTGAAGCCCGTTTAGGTGGGTTCGCATAGACTCGCCCGTTGACCGCTGCTCCAGCGCAGTTTGGCGTGTTGTACAGTAGCAGATGTTGTAGAGAAGGCTGCCCTTCCATGCACATGTAATGAGGCGCTGGGAAGTCGTCCACGCGGTCGCAGTGCGCTTTTGTCAGTGGGTTCGCGGCGACTGAGCTCCCGGGCTTTAACTGTCAAGGATGCCCATGGTCTTGAAGTGCCTTGGCCATCCATTAGGCTACAAGACGAAAGCACACAATCTCCGGGCAGCGACTTGTTGAAGCCGAAGCACCGCAGGCGGAATTGTTCTGTTGTGGGTCTGCAGTATACAACGTGGGCGGCCGAACCACGCCAAGGACGCTTGCCCCTATGGCAGCATGCACGACGGCGCTGGTGCTTAGAATCTGCCCCCATGGCAATCCAGCTCACCGGAGAAAGTGGCCTGCAGACATCAGTACGACCTCAGGATACACAGGATACGTGCCCACTTTGAAACACTGCGAATTATGCACACGCGACTACCTCTAACGCGTTTCGAACAGGGATCAAAGCAATGCTAAATCGACGAGCTTTTGGCAGGGGCTGCACGCCCCAGGAAAGGCCATTGCGGGTCGCAATGGCGCCTGCACGCCTGACGGCAGGTTGCGTCCAAGCATTAAATAGAGCTATCTAAACGTCTGTCGATTCTTTGAGGGTGAAAAGTCAATGAGCAAATAAATACAAACACAATCCCTCGACACAACCCACACAAAAGTCTCCGCTTCCCCCTCCACTCTCGACTGGTGTGCATGCTGATGCTGATGCTGGCTGCTGATGATACGCACGGCACTACCTGCACTACATCACCCCTTCAATCCCCGCTTTCCCAAGCGCTGCCCCCGCCGCGCTCCCCGTTACTGCAGGAACATCTTGTACAGCGACCTCGCTCCTTCGGAGATGCCGTCGAAGCTGAAGTCGTTGAGGCCGGCCACCGCCCGCCCGAACGCCTCCTCCTCGTGGGGAGGGACCTGCAGCCCGAGCAGCACGGACGTCGCCTGGTTGCCGGACTTGCGGTAGCAGAACATGGTGACGTTCCACCTTGGGCTGATGCTCTCGAGGAATTGCTCCAAGGCGCCCACGCGCTCGGGGAAGCGCACCTGACGGTGGCAGTCAGCCTGTCAACATACCGTTTTCCCGAACAGCGCCAAGGTAGTGTTGTAACTGGAACTGACTGAGTACTATTAACAGCAGGACGCATAAAGAAGTGATGGGGCATTAGGAATTGCATTCAGGACATTGATGAACGGACGGGATACAAGGGACAGAACTCCTGTTGTTCATTTGCTCGGGTGTAAACCGTTGCCACGTACTCGAGCCTACGGTCCCCAGTCAGGGGTCGCCAATCCTCGATCCTACCTGCCTTCGTCAGTAGTGTCTTCCCATGTAGCATCTTGTAAGGTCGTGCATTTTGCACATTTGACGGGAGCGCATTTCACATTCCATGCTGTACAGCAATGCACACCATCATATTTGCTCGGTTCGAGATGAGCGCGTCTCCGTGCGACAGAGGGCCAGATATTTGCAACGCGCCAGCTGCCCCAGGAGACTATCGACAGCCAACAAAGACCTCAAACATTGGCACCTGCTGTGCATAAGCAGGCACTGCCCAAATGCCCCAGTTCCAGTAGCCTCACCATTACATTATTGCTATATGTGCCGTGGCCCAGCAGCTGTGCGCGGCCGTTCTGTCACGTTTTCCAGCTACAAACATGGCGCCTGCTGGTTTGTAGGGCGCAGGGCTGAGATTGAAATGAACCTGGCTGCGCCATACCCTATTGCCATCTCTTGACGATGGCAACGCCAGGCATCACAAGGCCCGCATACTTTGTGGTAGGATGGCGGAGGCACTTGGACGCTGACATATGATGCAGTATATTGAAATAAAAAAAGAAAAAGGCACCACGCCCCTGCACGCTTGTGCGCTGTGCCTACCAAAACTCTGTAACTCTGTAGCCTCGAGGCGCCCACCACCCGCCACAATCCGAAAAGGAATTGCGTCTGAAATGAGGAACTGCACGGTGCTGTCTGGCTAGATGGTACCAGTAATGTGTTCGCCAATTTGCGCCAAGCCACACAACACGCCATCCATTTCGTGCAATACATACAAACAATAATACACAGCATATAGTATACGTATATGTGCACGCATACAAATACCGTCAAATATTCAACCATTCCACATCAGCTAATGTTACCGCTGTGCTTTTTGCTGTGCATTTTTGTCTTCAGAGCGTTGTTTGTATTTCCATTGTCGCTCCGCAAAGAAGGCCAAGCGCTACTCTGCGCAAGAGTTGAATATCTTACAGTATGAACAGTATTCCTTGGTGATATTGCCACCCACCTTGTAGACTCGCTCATGCGGTATTTCCCCCATATAGCACCTCGGCCGCCCGCCGACAAAGTCCCTCATCAATTCCCGAGCTTCATCCACTGCGCTCACGTCTCTGGTCTGAGCTCCTGCACTGGTGAGGCGCTCGAGCAGTGCCTCGAGCTGGGCGTCGCTCCTTATGCCGACGCTCCACAGGATGTGTGCATGGGGCCCAGCAGAGAACCTGAACATGCCAGTACTGACTGCCATGAATATTCTCACAGAATTTCCCACCATCTTTAACACATGTCGGATAAGTCGTGCACGTAACCCACGTCAGATACAACACGTGTCAGATCTCGGGAAGTATCATGCTAAGCCATGCATCATGGGAAAAAAATCCAAACAGCCCGCTCTCAGCAGGGGACGCCAAGCAGAGGCACTTGAGGCATTGACAGCAGCAAGGAACAGTCCTGCGACTTCGCACGACTTTGGTCCGCGTTCCAGTCATGTTCGCTGAAAATTTCACACAGGAGGCAATCTTCAACGTACCAAACACACAGTTCAACAGCGGCTTAACATTGGCATTCTACCACCTAATTTGTGCATGTACCTATATCATTGCATATCTGTTCATTCATCCACTTCTTCTTCCACCAACGAAACGATGACATACTCTTAGCAATCGGCGCTCAGCGCACTGGCACAAGCACAGCTCCTCACCCCCTGCCCTTGAGTAGAGGACAGGGCAGGCGTGCTGCTGCCTGTGTTGCTTACGTACTGGGACTAGGACGTTCACGCACCTGTACTTAAACTCAGTCACCATCAGCTCAGTACCTTCCAGGGCAGCATTGACAAACTTGCGGAATGCGCCCGGCAGCTCTGGGATGGAGGTGGCAAGGATCGCCTCACGCTTGGCGCCAATGTCCGCGAGGTCTGCCACGAGCCTCAGGTTGCTGAAATTGATGTTTGCCCCACTTGCGACAGCCACAAGCGCCTTTCCCTATCCATCGCATGCAGCAGTCAGGGAATAGACCCCTGGGTATAAATCTCAACAGCGCCAGCTGTGGGCACAGGGCTGAAGCCAAAAGCTGTACCAAGTGGAGGGTCAAGAAGACAATAGCAGCTTTGCATAAGTGTGTTTTTCGGCAAATGCTCAGGTCACATTGTGAGCCGAAATGTGTGAAGACAAGTGTGACATATGTCACAGTATAGGACGCAACTGTTCATTGGGGTCTGAGGGACTTTAGCACTGCCGTTCACAATGGCTGCTGCGATCCGCTGTCCGTACGTGTCCAATGTCTGGCAGACTTGCCACCGAAAGGGAGAAGCTGAGAACAAGTTCCACTGACAAATTGCAACTCTACAGATATTGCCTAAGGACAGTATCAGGGCAACAGCAACCATGTGAATCCTCCACTAACAAAATAGGTCCCCAAAAGTTTCCTCGTACTTAGAGACGATCTTTGGCCAAGAACACAAATAGAATGGACACTACCAGGTCGTCTTGCAAGCCATCTCAAAAGTGCAACGACTCTGGTAGAGGCCACACCCAGGTAACTGTAAAAGCCCGGGACAAATGTAGTCGAAACAAAGGGTATGATGATATCCAGGTGCCTACAAAGCCATGAAGGAAAAGGTGAGCATCAACAATGCATTGTCCCCAACTGCGGGCATCGTAAAAAGCCTTTAGGGAGCCCTAAAGGTCGAGTTTGTTCACACGAAGAGCAAATAATTCCTGGGAGCCATCCACCCACCTTGATGCCATATCTAGTTGAATACGCCTTGGCCCCAGCTACTGCCACCGCCCCTGCCGGCTCCAAAATCGAGCGTGTCTGGTTGTACACATCCTTTATCGCAGCACTGATTTCGGAATTGTCGACCAAAACGACACCATCCACGACCTTCTGGCACAGCCTGAAAGTCTCCTTGCCAACCTGTGCAGCAAAACGTAACACGCCATGAGTGCGCCAGGCAACAGTCCAGAAGGCCATGTCTATTTGATGCCATTCAAAAGAAAGAAAGAATGCCTTCTGGGGCTGCTATTGACTGGCATTTTTTCATGCGGTTCGATGGTGAACAAAATCCAAATCCTTGATTGGGACACACCATCAGCACTGGAAAACAACACCCAACATCGCTTGACGTGCAGAAGGGCAGTGCTTTTTCATGCCCTTGACAAATGCAACCAGAGGGAATGCCCACCTGCTTCACAGCAACACCATCAGCAAAAGCATCCACGGCAGACAGCCGCACACGGTAGCCCTTGCTCAGGGACATCGCCATCGCATTGGCCCCCGCAGGCTCCACACCGATCACCTTCACCTCTGGCCGCAGGGCCTTGAGGTATGTGCCGATGCCTGCGATGAGGCCGCCACCCCCAATGGCAACAAAGACAGCATGCAGGTCCTCCTCGGCCTGGTACTGCTCCAGAATCTCTTTACCGATGGTGCCCTGGCCAGCGATTGTGTACGGATCGTCATAGGGTGCAATGAATGCCCGGCCAGTGGCCTGTGCCTTTTCCTGTGCCCAAAGCCAACACATCATGCCTTGGTGATTGCGCCGCCACAAAATGGAAGCAGCGGCAGTCACACTGCCTCACTATGCAGGCACTGGTGATTGAGATCTCAGAGATGGACAGATAAACCAACTTTCCTGCACTGCACGATGCTGTGAGTGTGCAACGGGCAGCTGCACATTGCTTGTGGTGGCCACAACAATTGGAGCAGAAACTTAACAACAGAAATACCTGAATAAGCCCCTGTACAATGCATTCCAACCAGCCTGTTTACAAACATGATTTCTGATCCAATTGTACCTGGGATAAATTTTGGATTCCGAATTTGAGTTTTGCCTTGCGGGAATCTTGTTACATTCTGTTTGAGGCCATGTACCTGACTTCGCTCTGCAGGAATAAGGCCCAGGCACTGCTGTCTTTTAACAACCATACATCATTGCACATGAATGTTTAGATTATTCTCTTGTGGGGTTCCTAACTGCAATCGCTTCAATCATGGGACCTGTTGAGCCACAGCCAGGGCCCTCACAGAAGCGAACAGCTGGCCAATAACCTCCTCCCTTCCCCCAAATCGCATGCAGCCAAGAAACTTAGGACAGAGCAATTTCAACAGTGAGGGGTCCTTCCATTTTACTGAAAAGAAAATGGACAGGCACCATTTTTCATTTCCACAAGAGACAGCTTAACCTGCAGTTTGTACAGGGTACCCTTGCATGAATTACTCGATTGCTTATTGGGCAACAACAATATTGAAACAATGTGCAGCAGTGGTCAGGGCATGGTGCACTGTAGCCCACGGCCGCTCCCAAGCACAGGGCACAGGCTGTAAAGGGATGGCTAATACAATACATCAAGGAGAGCAGCATATCTGGTGTTAGATAAATTTCTGCCATGTACTGCCACCATCTCCGTCATGTTTGCACACCATGAGCACCATGGATGCCATTTCTCATTGTGCACATACAGCATCTGACCCTCATGATTGCCTTCAAGATGCAGGGGCATAGCTTTGCTCTGCAAGGGAACATGTTATCCATAAGCTTACATCACACAGGCTGCGAGTTCACAACCATACCACCAGACACATGAACCACCTGCCTGTGCATATGCCTGAGTTTCTTGATATGTTTCTCCCACGAGCTCCGTGATGCCCCCGAGCCTCTGAACAGCGTCTACCTTAATGGTTGGTGTTGTTCTTGGCATGCACACAATAGCGCCGCATCCCTGCCAGCAAAGGCACTACCACTGTGTTGAAACCAAGTATCAGCATAGTACAAAAGGATTGTGCCAAACTCTTCACTCCTTCACATGCTTACACGTCCCTGCACCCCAACTACCAAGCCCGTCTCATGCGTGCATGTGAATGATGTGGTCGCAAACCGAAGCTCCATCTCCCTGTTCGAATCTTAAATTCCGTTCCTGAGCAGGTGCTTTTGTGGGGACGATATTTAGCCTCTCTCAGAGTTGTCTCCTTGTCCAAGTGCAGTGCACTCACCAAAACTGCTTCTATTTTCTGGAGTATGCAGGGTTTTTCTGCCCCTAAGGAAAACGAAACAGTGTCTTGCGACTCTGCAAAATTTGACCAACATGGTGCAACTCTGGCATAATAGAAAAGCATCACATATCCATATTCAACTTCCTGCAATCCTCCGCTCATACACACACTATTCTGGACGGCATTTCCATCTGCAATGCATCTTTGAGGCTAGTTCTGGGGTTAGAGAGAAGGCCATGCCCCAGGGCTGAGGAGCAAGGGCATCTATCTGCAAATTGTGGCAAAGGGATTTGAAGCAGAGAAATACTTCAATCCCGATTGTACAGCCCCAGGGTGAATGAAATGGAGGGGAGACCAGTTCTCCTTTCAGCAAGGAATCACGGCATTCGAAAAGCCAGGAATGGCCTAGAATGTTAGGAGGCCAGATTGCCTGCATGCCATGTAGGTGCAAGGGCAGCAGCTGGCTGCCAAGAGCAACTGAAATTCAAATCAATCTGCTGCTCTAAAGATGGAATTCGCCTTTGCTGCGACCACTGCTTGCGAATGAGTTGAGTCGTTGCAAGTGATCTTGATGCAAATCCGATCCTGACCTCAAATCAATGACAGCCAAAATGCGGAAAGAAGGGAAGCCATACCAATTGACGAGCAGCGAGTGCCACCCCCTGGGCGTGGTTGCCCGCAGAGGAGCATATCACACCCCTTTCACGGTCCTCGGGCTTCAGACTTGCCATCTTGTTGTAGGCACCTCGCAGCTTGAATGAGAAAACCTGTGGGTGGGCAGCATGTCAATGCCCAGCAGTCGGAGATGGGAACCATTCCCATGCATGGGCTGCAGTCATGACAACAGCAGCACTCAGCAAATAACTGCGAATCGAGTGCAAAGGATGAGCAAAATGAACTGAAAATTGAGTGAGACCACGTGGTGAGGTTATGGTTGCAAATGAAAGCGAAGAGACTGCAATCGGATAGAATCTGCAAAAACGCACAAACTAAACCACAAAACGCGTTGCACTAAATGGCAGCAAGCTTGAGCAGCAGTTGTTGATGATCTGCAGAAAGCCCAATGTGCTGTGAAGGACACCAACAGTGGAGAGGACAGTTCTGCAGCTGTCAAATTCATGCTGCCAGCAGGTGCATCACATCAGGAAGTCAATGGCAGATCACAACCTTGATCTTTTAGAAAAGTTGCGTGGGACCCTCTCTGCCCTGAGAGTAGACCAGACCTTGATGTGCATGGCAATCCAAGTGATATCTTGTGGAGCTAGTGAAAAGACAATTCTTGCTTTGATTGGCATATTAACAAGAAGAACAACTGATGCATCATCAACCTGTGATGGGTACGCATGCTGGGGTTGGCAATGATAGCAGAACTCCCAGAACGTCACTCCATCGAAAGCTGCATCTGATATTGATTCCATTCCACACTCAATCTTTCCACTGCCAATGTTTTGGAAGTTTGTGCATTAACATTTGTTCAGCTTGGCACTCACTGGTTGCAGATCTTCACGCTTGAGGAATAATTTGTTGCCCAGCTGCTCACTAAGCATGTCAGCCTCCTCAAGGGGTGTCTGCACCTGTGGATTGAACCCAGTGTCAAGATGATCAAAATCCAGCGAAGACATTTGGGCACTGATGTGGCATCATTGGCAGTGTATACCACAACATGTATATGGAAGTCAGCTACTGCACCTGCAGGGCGCTAACCCCAGCATGGAGAACCAGCACGAATCTTTCCAGTGCCTATCCAAGTCAATAGTCTCCAAACTCCTGTGCCAAACCAAGCATCTCTGCAATGCCCAGCTCTCAGTATCCATTTTGGGGGGCCTTTCATGCTATCAAGAGGACAAGGGGACAAAGACTCTGCAATGGTGTGAACAATGGATTTGTCCCTGCCGTTGCCTTGTAGAGTTAAGGGCAGTGCTTGGCTCCTCTTTGGTACATTTTGTCAAACGAATTGACCATCCTAATTTCTGTGTCGGGTTAATCTTGATGCTTCCCAGGAAGGGATTGGAGCATTGTTCCCCATAGGTGTCCAATTCACAGCGATGGGCTGCTTGAGAACATAAGCTGCTTCGATGCTACACTCTTGTGTTGTTCTTGTTTTATTTTGAGAATTCGCCAGAATCGGCAGCGAACTGCCCTGCCGTCTTTTGACACATGCAAAAGGAGGAATTTTATCTCACCGCGATGTCGTACACCCTGGCCTTCAAAATTTGCAACAGGTACCCGTTCTCTGCTGTCCTCCAGTCATCCGATCCATCAGGGGCCCCCTGCAGCAAAATAGCGAAAAATCATGTACTTCCTTTTTCTTCTCTTGAACCACCTTTCATATACACTACGCACCACCAAGTTCAGAGTACAGCGCAAAGCGGCAAACCTTCAATTTACATCGATCGCCACCATCGCCGTTACAAGAGTGTTGTTTTTGCACAACAAAAGCATACACATACAAAGACTCACTAGTTGGATCTTTAATGACCCGTCGTTGCCTGCCAGATGCAACCGCATTCTTCCCATGCCTTTTTTGAAGAAAGCAAGCGAAGGGGAAGATACAAAAGAAAAAGCTTCCACAGACACGCCCGCCCCTCTGCAGGCCCAGGATGCCCCGTCCTGCTGCTGGCAACACCACCCTGTCCCACAGAAATTTGATGCAGCCCTCGGACACCATGAAGCAGCCCCAGATTCCCCCCTGGAACCACAACAACCAAATAAAAAACTCCTGCGATGCACATTGAGCCCCCACCTCCGCCTGCTCATCCCCTTTTCTCGAACTTTCCAACCCAAAGGCAAATCACTTCCAATCCAACCACGAGATCCCTCCCGACGCACCTGATACTGATCCTCGCGCAAGCCCAGCCCCCTCGAGTCCACTCCGCTCAGGGACCCCCGCTCCAACACGAAGTCTCCCGGCGCGAACGCATCCCCGGTCTCAACCACCCCTCCATTCGACGCCCCGTCTAGCTCGCGCGTCCCCTCACACTCCCTTCCCACAACCGGCTCCGCGCTCGTCCCAATCGCCGACAGCGCCCGCCGATGCCCGGCCTCCGAACGGCAACCCGCGCCGATCGTCGCCCCGAGCCGCGCGCTGATCTTCGCACAAGGCCGCGCGGATCGGGTGCTGAAGATCCGCCCGCGGATCGCGTCGGCGGTCGTCGACGGAAGGCATGGCGGGGATGAGCGCCCTGGCATTGCGTCGCCGGCAAGGCGCGGCGGCAGAAGGGAATGCAGCGCGGCTCGGCCCGCCGCCATGCCCTCGCGGCCGTGAAGCCCACGAGGACGGGCCCGGCGGCTGCCTCCCTCGCGTGTGACTCGTTGCTCCCTGTGTATCGCCTGAGTAGACGTCGCTTTTAGTACTACGTCCTATGTACTGCGTGTACGTTGCTTTTAGTACTATGTGCTATGATACAGTAGTTTGCGCTGCTCCCCGTCTTCCGCTCAGGTCGATGTTGTCTCCCAGTAGTTTGTGTTTTGGGGCGCGGGGTGCGCTGCGCTGGCTGAGGTTTTCCATTGGGGGACTCTTTTCAATAACGCGAAGAGATGATGCACAATCTGACAGCGCAAGCAACAACAATAGCAATTTTCAGTCGATCCGGCAACCCAACTAGCTCCATTAATAATTCCTGCCACCTCTTCACCTCGTAGCCTATCCATTTATTACTCATGCCAGTGCGAGCCATGAGCACACCAAACCAGCTGAAAATTGGTGATGAGCCATTGTGTGCTGATATTGAGTTTAGCGTACACATCAGCGTAAACACCCTGTGAACTCCTCCCGGTTCAACGACAATCGCCCTCGCCGTCTATTATTTGTTTCTCGCAACTATGTATCGCATGCTTTGAAGTTATCTCTAGAACGAAAGTGCCCAGACAATTCTCGAAGATTTGGGCTGGACTCCCTTCTCTGTTTCTCCCCTCTTTCTCATGTTCCGTATGATAATTTAAAATGCATTCATAGTGCCATTACCCACTCATCTCCACTGCATCAGTACTGATTTTTTTTGATGTCTGTATCTGCCATTGTTACACAAGTACATTCCTCCATCGTCAACGCTGTTGCGCAACCCACATTCAGTGCACCCCCCACGTCGGAAAAAAGTTGCATATCCTGGATATACATATCCAGGATATGGCCATATCCTAGGATATGGCCTCCATATCCTGGGATATGCTGGCCATATCCAGGATATGCATATCCAGGATATGGCCATATCCCTCCATATCCCAGGATATGGCTGCCATATCCTGGATATGCATATCCGGGATATGGCCATATCCCAGGATATGGGCTCCCATATCCTGGGATATGGCCATATCCTCGCCCTTATCCTCACCATATCCTGCGATATGGGCGTCCATATCCTGGATATGGAGCCACAGTATGTTCAGGGACACCCCCGAATGGGGATGGTCGCGTTGAATTCCGTTTTCTTCCCGCACTCTTGGGGGAGCACGCGAACCCCGGGCGTCTTGCGTGTACGTGCGGCGTTGCCTGCGCGGGAAAGCGAAGAAGACCGACGACGCAGCAATGCGGGGGTTCTCGCCGTGCGTCTCTAAGACCCCCGAGGTCAGTTGAAGCCGTTGGAGGGAGCGCTGGAGATCGTGGAATGGTGGGTTGGGCTGCGGCGCGTTGCGCACGTTTTATAAGGTGGTCAATGCCTGGTGCTGAACGCTGGTGGCCCATGTGGCTGCCTAGAGTTTTTGAAAGTGATCGGCGAATTTTTGGCGATGCCGCACATTATGCAGATTTGGACGATTGGTAGATCCAAAACCCGTCAGGTTGCGTGGAGGGTGTGGCAGCCCCGGCGGCTAGTATTAGCAGAAGCGCTGGCAGCCCGCGGCCTCCTGGCTTTGTCGCCACTTACAGGCAAAAATCTAGCGATGCCGGACATGATCGCAGATCTGGACGATGAGTTGATCCGCAGCCCTTCAAATTATCGTGGGAATGGCAGGCCACGGCGAGCAGGGGTGCGTTGGGCCGCCGAAAGGGAGAAGGCGTTGGCACCTGACCCTGGCGCTTCTTTCTGTTGGATGAACGATGTAACAATTCTTCAGTTCTTCGATTATTCTGCACGTTTGAAAAAGCAAGGGTGTGTTATTCTCTCCAGGATTGCAACCACGTGAAGCCGTGCTGTTGAGCACATCCCTTCACCACAAGCTTGTGCCTAGGTGAGAGGGATGGCATCTGTTGGTGGAAGCCAGTTGGGGAAATCTGAAGAAGTTAGATCTGCAACAACTCAAGTCTCATTATTGCAACAATTGTCAGAGCCAGCTGGCTCATTATTGTGAGGGAAAGACGGTAGCTTTCTGCAGCTAATACTTGCGGTGCCAAGCATAGCACTATGAATGAATCACAATGAAATTCTGGTTTGGCCTTCAGACTTACTCATCCAATAAACCTTGCCTCTATGTTTGTGCATCAGGACTTCCTGAGGATCAGGCTTGATGGATCAGGCCCTTTGGATCAAGCATTATGAATCGCCAGAGGATCAGCTTGAATGTTGCTGCAAACTTGGAAGGATGGCAGGGTTTGTGCCAGAGCTGAACGCAGCCCCTTGAAGCCATGCTGCTGAGCGCATCTGTTCACACAAGTGTGTGCTGAGGTAAGATGAATGGTCTCTATTTCCTGCTAGAATGTGGAGGTGTGAGCATGGTTCAGAAGTCAAATTATGTGGGGATGTTTGCTGTATGGCTGGTGCTCCTTAGCATTGATCAAAGTCATTGTGCTGTAGCCATGTGCCATTGCGTTGGCACTGTGATCGTATCAGTGCACTGTTCATCTCAGTCTCAAAAACTTTTCCAGTTTTTGTAGTCATGCCACAAAGACTTGTGCCACTTGCTTCCAGTCTGCACACGCGGCAAGCTTGTCTTTTCACAGGGAAATGATCGAAAAGGTTTCTTCCATTTTGTCCTGCAGGATTTCGAAAGGCTTGAGCCAGCCTGTACTATTTCCTCCAGCAGATTGACTGCCATCCAGTTTCCATTCCTGTGGTGCAGTTGCTGGAAGCCATTGCATACATGCAGTAGATCAAGCTCATACACACAGACCTGAAGCCTGAGAACATACTGCTGGAGCGACATGGGGTAGAAAAGGTCGGCAGCACCCCATCAACTGGAGACCGCTGTCTGCATGACCGCAGAGTCACAAGGTGGTTCTATCTCAGAGCACAACCAATGCCAGCCCAGATATTTGTACTTGCACTTGCCCACCGTCACGTCTTGCACAGATCGTGGAGGATGTGTTGTGTCTGCCTGCTGTGGAGGATGTGCCCGCTGATTGTTTTGAAGTTTCATCGATTAGGGTTGCAGTAATCAGCAAACGGCAGGGTAAGGTTGTATTCATGGCAATGTTGCACAGATTGTTGTGTGACATGTCAGGGAGCTGGTGTGTGCTGACACTGTGCAAGTGTGTGTGACAGGTGGAGAGGTGGTGACGGCGAGGATGGTGTGGTGATGTCGACACAGGTGGTGGCCACCCATGGGCTGCTGGTGCAGTATTGCATGATGGTGCCAAGGCTCAACTAGGGTGGCAGTCTGGCAGGCATCGGTGCAAAGAAATGGTTAATGGGAGTTGTGTTGTCACTGCATTCATAATAGATAGCTGCTTAGAGAACTGAGAGGGGGATGATTTAATGGGTAGTTGCTTGGCCAGAGATATGGACGCAATTTGATTTGCAGTTGTTGTAAAATCTGTAAAGCAATTCGTTTCAGAGATTGTGTGCGCCTCTCGTTGACGACCGTACGCGCCCATTGTGAGCGCCACATATTCAGCATATGGTCATATCCTCGTCCATATCCTCGTTCATATCCTCCCATATCCTTGCCATATCCCAGGATATGGCCATATCCTCGTCCATATCCCTCCCATATCCTCGCCATATCCCAGGATATGGGCTCCCATATCCTGGGATATGCCATATCCTCGTCCATATCCCTCCCATATCCTCGCCATATCCTGGATATGGGCTCCCATATCCTGGGATATGGCCCATATCCTCGTCCATATCCTCGCCATATCCCAGGATATGGGCCGCCCATATCCAGGATATGCATATCCTCCCATATCATATTCGATATCCTGGATATGGGTGAGGATATGGGCGTTTCCATATCCTAGGATATGTAACTTTTTTCCGACGCATTTTCACTCGCGGCCAAGACAGTAGTCATTCTCTCAACAATCGAAGCCCGGAACTGTTCTCTTTGTACCAATATCGCTGTTTCGTTAATGCACAAGCCATTGATCAGGCTGGGTGGGGTGTCATGACCCCCTCCCTGCCAAGGTGCGGCCCGCCATGTCAAATCGTGCCTACCGTTTCAAATCGTCACTGCGCAGTGACGGCCCATCACTAGTGATCGCTGTACTGATGGCACGCGATGCGCCAGATTTGCCAGTTCATGCGCGGCCACATGTGTCGCTCCGCTATGTTGTACATTCGCTCGTGCATCGCACCAATCTGTGGTCACCACGTCGCCTGCAAAGACGATGTGTGAGCTGCGGAGCCATCTCCAATCGCTGCCACTTCATGCGGACAAACTTGCAGCGCCGCATTTTTGCGCTGTTGCATGTTGTTTGGGGCCAGCGCATGTGGAGTGCTGCTCTGATTCCATCCTGAACGAAAGTGCCGACAAGCTTTGAATATTGTATGGGTATAGCTTCACTACCGTGCATTCAAGACCGTTCTTGACTCAAAATTTGCTCCTCATTTCACTGGAATGCAGTTCGCTATGAATGGCATAAATCTCCGCACCCCCCTCCCTATCCTATTGCATGCTGTCTGTGACAACAATGCCCTAGCTGATGACGTGCACTGAGCACAAACAGGGAGCGATTAGATGTCCTTGTGAAATGTGCCATTTTGGGGCCTGAATAGAAACCCGAGCTGACCACCAATACAGGGATTCTTGACCAATAAGGAGTGGCTCAAGGGCATCTGGGTTTTCCCAAGGATCCAATCTCAGCCTTGATATACCCGCCACGTCCAAGCCTTCAACTCACACAGCGCAGCGCCCCGGAGAATGGCCGCCACAGAGGACTCCAATATTCAATAGATTTTTTCCATCATAGCAACTACGGAAAGTTCCATAATTTAGGTAACGTGTGCGTTGAAGTTTTGATGGAAACCAGGGGGATGATGGATTGTCATCCGTGGCCTGAAGCTCTCACAGGAATGGCAGTTCCCGCCTACAGCCTGTCCAATGCCGCCGACGAGCAGCCTCGCATGTCAGCAAAAGCCCTCACACTCTCTGGC